AAAAAAAAAAAAAAAAAAAATCATTCCCAAGTATTTCCTATCTGATATGTAACCAAAAATAAAGATACAAGAGCCAGATCAAAAAACATGGCATGTTTAAATTAAAAAAATTATTATAGTAAAGGAAAACAAAATATCTCCTACCCACCCACCCCAATTCAAACATGCTTATCCCATCATTCTTGCCACACCTTCTTTTGTTTTTTTGGGGATGTGATTTTTTTGAGACAGGGTCTAGTTATGTAGCCCAGGCTAGCTTGAACTCATGGCAGTCCTCCTGCCTCAGCCTCCCAAGTGGTGGAATTTTAGACATGTGCCACCTTGCTTGGCTTTCTGCCACTTTTTCTTTTTCTTTTCTTGTCTTTTTTTTTTTTTTTTTTTTTTTTTTTTTTTTTTTTGGTGTGTGTTTTAGGGAAGGGTCTAATTGGACTCATAGTGATCCACCTGTTTACAGCCTCCCAAAAGCTGGGATTACAGGCGCGTACCACCACACCCAGACTCAAATGCTGTCTCCCAGGGGCAGGGTGAAGCAACCCTCTCCCCCCTCCCCGCCCCCGGGGGCCTACTTACAGGCACTTTAATCTGCTGAATTATTTGGCCGGCCCTTCCTGCCACTATCTGAAGCAGCTTTCAAGTCCTCTTTCATGAATGTCTTTATGAAGTATGATAAAAAAAAAATGTAGTGAGTGCTGCCACCTGATGCTATCCAATAGAGAGGTACGCCTATAAAAAACTATTATGGTATGTCTTCTGCCAGCTTATTCCTTTCACCTGGCACCATGCAAAAATCTGATCCTTCCCTGAAGTCAAAATGACCAAGAAAGATAAAACATTTGAACCAATTCAGGACACTGAAGCAACCACACTATGTACAACCAAAGACATGAAAGAGGGCTTGCAGAACTGCCTCAGCCAGGCATGGTGACTCATGCCTGCAGTTCCACCACTTGAGAGGCTGAGGCAGAAGGACCACTACACCAAAGTTCAAGGCCAGCCCGAACTACATAGTGAGGTCAAGATCAGCCTGAGCTACACTGTGGGACCCTGTCTCAAAATAAAGAAAACTGCTTCAGAAAGTGTCAAGAATGATGGAGAGGTGTTCAAAAGTGAGAGGGAGTATTTTGAGGGGAATTAATAATAGTCTTTTACTGTTAAACACTTTCTGTTGGGAGTGGTGGCACCTGTTTTTATCCTATCATGCAGGAGGCTAATCTTGAGGCTAGCTGGAACTACAAGGTGAGACCTTGTCTCAAAAAAAAAGTACGCAATTATTAATTTTTGACAGGAAAAAAAAATGAATAGAAATAAAACCAAATATTTGAGTTCTTAAAAAAAAAATCAGAAAAAGGAAAGTGTGGTACCCATTTAAATATGCTTCTGCCTATTTTCAATTCATTCACATTAAAATGGATAAGAAATTGGAACGTTTTTTACCCATGTTAATAAACAAGTAGGTTGAAGGTCTATATTATGTCATAAGAGTCCAATCTTGATTCTGTATGACCTTGTTCAGACTGTTTAACCTCTCAGTTCTAATATTCATAAAATGGAATCATAATATCAGTACTATTGGAATTATAAGGTTCAAGTGAAATATTACATATAAAGTGCTTCACAAACTCTTTCAGTTCTTCATAAAAGTCTACTGCATAAATTCCAAACACTGGTATTCCTCAGAGGCCATAATTACTTTTCTATTAGCACACGCGTGCGCACACGCACGCACACACACACACACGACATTCAGATTAGTACGGGTGTTCTTTATACCTAATGGTAAGTTACATAAGAAGGCTCTCTAATAGTAAATTACATAACAAAGATCCATTACTTTATTGAACTTAGTTCAAAGACAAAACACCTTCAGTTATTAAACATAACTTAAAAAGGGAAGACAATATACCTTGACTGGTGGTGTAGAACATGGGGAAGGATTCGTTACACAGGTTTCCTGACTGTTATAGGAAGGGCTGTCAGTCAGGTTCAGATAGAGCTCGTCTTCACTGGTGAAGTCTCCCTGATTGTCTGCTCCTGGCGAGATGCAGATTACTATAGCACTGGTATTATCTGCTCGAAGCATACGCTGCCTCCAGCGGCCTAAAGCTCGATTCACAAGCATTTTGGCACAAGACTGGCCATGTTCCCCCTGTATTTAAAAAACAGTACAACATCAACTCATAAGGTCTTACGGTTATGAAGTTATAGCTCAGTGATATGAGTACCTCTAGGTTCAAACCCTAATAGAACTGGGGTTGAGAGGAGGAAGGGGAGAAAAATGTAAAAAGGGCTGGAAATGTAGCGCAGTCATAAAGCTGCCCTGGATTCCAAGCCCAATATTCAAAGAAACACAACTGAGTCACCGCTCACCATCAAGTATTTTTTCTCCTCTTGATCCTGGCACATCGAAACAGCATCTTGCGGTGGAATCATATTCCAAAGCCCATCACTCCCCAAGATAATATACTTGTGTTTCTGCGGATCGAGAGTGTGGACACTCGTATCTGGCTCTGGCGACACCACAAACTCACCACTGAAGAAATCGTAGCTCCACAAATCGCCTGAGGACCAAGTATGTAAGTAGAAGATGTTACTTCTAAACTAAGAGTAGCACAACACACTAAAAAATCTGCACATTAATTTCTATAGATGTAACAAAGCAGCCAAGAATATTTTTCATCATTTTTTATTGGTAGAGTACGTGTTTGCAGTGCATAATGACTGCATTCCTCGAGGGGAGCAGTACATGTGCACAACACATCCGAAGTGTTCTCTCATCCCCTTCCCCTTCCCTCCATCCCTTGGTCCCCTCTTCCCTTTTGCAAAAGAACTATTTTCCATTATCTTTTTTTTTTTTTTTTTTTTTTTGGTGCAGAACCGGGGATTGAACTCAGGGCCTTGTGCTTGCCAGGGAAGCACTTAATCTACTCAGCTGTCTACCAGGCCCTCTACTATCTTTTATTTTGCTCTTTACATTTGGGGTTCCTCATATAAGAGAAAATGTGACAGTGGCACACAACTATAAGCCTAGCACTGCACTGGGGAGGCTGAGGCAGGAGGATCACTGAGTTTGAGGCCAGCCTGGGCCGCATATAGTAAGTTTAAGGTCGGCCTGAATTATATAGTGAGACCTTAACAAAACAAAATGCAGAAATATATGATATTTAAGCTCATAGGTCTGATTTATTTAACATTATGGCCTCATGGTGTGCCCATTTTCCTACAAATGACTTGTTTATCCTTCTTTATGACACAGTAAGGTATTATTGTATATAAATATCATTTTCTTTATCCGATCATCTGCTGATGGATATATCGACCACTTCTAAGATTTAGCTACCGTAAATTGTGCTGGAATAAACATGGGTATGTTATATAGCCCTGTAATACGCTATCTTTGAACTCTTGCAAAGATACTGAGATAGGGACAACTGAAATTTTTATTTGTAGTTTTTATATTTGAAAATATTAAACATTTATTTATGATTAAAAACATCTCAGGCTGGAGAGATGGCTCAGTGGTCTAAAGCACCTACTTGGAACAAGCTTGGCAAAGCACAGGGACCATGGTTCGATCC